AGTACCTAGAAACTGACTCTTGGAAAAATTTGTTATCAAGCTCTACAGTCTTACGAAATTATATCCCGTGAGAGAATTTGAACAAAGGTGCTTACTTAAAATAATAGCGATAATAATAATATGAAATGCGATCAGAACTTTTGTTGTTATAATCAAGGTTAAGTATCAAGTAGCAAAACAAATATTGTCAAATATAGATTAGTTCGCAGGATGTATAGATGTTGGAAGAGGTGGTGTAGAATTATAAGGTTAGTAGACAAATAAAAAGCGTTACATAAAGTGGCGTGAAATTTGAAAAAGTAGAATTTAATGTAGCAAAAAGTTTTCCGATTTAGAATGACTATTGGGACAATTGAAATGATACCGAAAGTAATTCCAACTGAGAATAATAATCATCGTAGTAATGCGGAAAAGGTACATAGATTATCTAAACAAACAAAATAAATAAGTAAAAAAAATGTTTAATCCACCTGCGAACAAGGTAGAAATAAGGATTAAACATAATATTTTGTACACAAACGTCTTGGTTGAATTAATGAATGGCTAAGGCCTACAGTCTCTTTAGAAGTTCAGAGCAGGGAAAACGCGGCAAGTTAGCATAGATTCGATAGGATGATTTTAAAATCATGGTCAGGGTTGGTAAAGTGGTTTCGAACCCCATGGACTCCTAATGCTGAAGAGTCACAAACCAGGACGAAACAGCTGTCCAGTACTCCCAGCTGGCTTTCCAGTGGTTCTCTAACTGATGTCAGCTCATGATGAAATCCTGTAACCAATCAGTCACAAATCCCTACAAACCAATACTTGAAAAGTGACAGGAGTCAGTCAAGTGTTCTAGAATAGAGCTTTGCACACCTTTCCCTTCTCCCTTGTAAAACCATGTTTCAATATGTTCTCGTATCCATGTGGAAAGCGTTCTCTGGCTGCGGCCAATGTACCTTACTCCACAAGATACTGATAGATGACCATGGAGGCAGTCAGACGAGCGGCTTTTTTAACAGAGATGGAGAACGACTTGAGGTTGGTGAACGTCATTCATAATTTCGCTGTAAAGAATGCCTTAGTGACTGTTTTAGAGATTCGGTTTTTGAGCATATCTAAAGCTTGATCACTTTTGAATTCCAAGTTCATGAATTAGGTTTTCTTTGGAACCGAGTCGGTGACCAGTTTAAACTGCTTATCTTTCATGATACTGTCAGTAAATCGGTTTGGATAACCGTTTTCTGCGAGCGTGGCTTTTAGGAAGACAAGTTTTGAGTCGACGCAATCAGAACTACAAATGTTTCTTATCCTAAAGCAGATCTAATGATTTAGGTTCGTTTTCCTGGAGATAGGCACCCAACTATAAAATTGGTTAGTTGTCCATTCCATGTACGTTACTGGTGGATGGGTCTTTTAAGACATCGGTCATTGGGTCTCCTGGGGCCTAGTTCAGATTCTTTTCCAATGGTAAATTGCGCTTTATTTGACACCGCATACACTTATGCTCGATAACATTGCTTTCACTCTTTATTCCACATATTTACATCAATTTAATTATATAATCCTCTGATGTTGAGTTTCAATACTACAATTACTTCGCATTCTATAAATCCAGTTGTAAAAGAATTTGAGGTATTCCTGGAATAAGTGTTAGATGATCTAGATAGCAGCTGTCCCTTCCATCTGAAAGACAATCGGCCATAATTCTTTACTACAGAGAGTCACGGCTGAACAATACAAAGTATTTTATGTCAGTCCCATGGAAACAGTTTCACGGAATAAACACACTGGATCATAGGAATTATTCAAAAGACGGTTGCAGCGACGAAAATTTTCTTTTTGACGAAGTCATCAACTAGGCTGTACAGTCGTGTATTTATGATAAATGGGTGGGGAAGTTCTAGAATAATTTCCGGTCAAGGGTTAAATTAATAAAATAACAATTAGAAATTAAAATGCCATAATAAAGAGGGGAAAGGTTGGATAAAACTCAAACGAAGTAGTATCAAAATTACTGGGAAGATTGACATATTGTGCAATTGAGGGTTGGAAATGTAGAAATAACAAAAATAGACAGGATGTTTAGATATAAAATCTAATGGGATCATAACGAATGTGACGAATAATTGTTTATGCAATTAGGGATAAAATATGTAGAAATAATAAAATAACAAAATAAACACGAAGTTCAGATATGAAAATAAGGTAGTGTATATGGGCATTAGGAAGAAATTAAAATAACATGAATAAACTGGAAGTTTGGATAGTAAAGGTAATGGGGCAGTCACTATTAGGAGAATTACTTGTTTATGATAGCTACGGCAGGGACAGGGGTTGGACGTATTTCTTTTGGATACATAGCGTGGGTTTGAGCTTTTGGATAGCTAGTACCTCGGCTATGCCCAGATGTTTTAATTTTACTCCATTTGATAAGTTTGATCGAATATTGTATATGATTTTGAAGGATTTTTCGAATGATGCTGAATGTCCTGAAGTGACCAGATGCTCTGTGAATGAACTATGTACCTATTTTTGTTCTCCTTGTAATAGTCAGGCCTGCTTTTCAAGTTGGCGTTTGGTACGGCCAATGTACTCAGCTCAACACCAGCAAGTAAACCGGTATATGCACACTGAAGTAGCCCAATGCTGCTGCTTGTCTTTCGAGTTCTGGCTGAACAGTTTCTTGCAGGAAAACGTTAGTTGTAGGCTTGCAGCGAAGTATGATTTTCTCAGAGATTTGCAAGGGTGCTTACGAATGGTTTTTTGGTTCAGTGTCATCCTTGAATTCTAGAATAAGCAGAAGTATCTTCTTCGGGACGGATTGAACTAGTTCGGAAGTTTTCTTTGATTTGAGATTCTTGTATATGAACTTAGGCGGAAAACCATTTTCCATCAGGGTTCCTCGGAGATTGCTCAGTTCTTCATCAATCACTTCCTCGCTGTATATATTCCGAATCCTTGAGGAAGAGTTATTCGTCACATTAGTTATGATCCCACTAGATTTTTTATCCAAATATCCTGTCTATTTTTGTTATTTCTACATTTCTAACCCCCAATTGTGCAATATGTCAATCTTCTCAGTAATTATGTTGGTACTTTTTTTGAGTTTTATCCGTCTTTTCCCCTGTTTATTATGGCATTTTAATTCCTACTTGTAATTTTATTAATTTGACCCTTGACCGGAAATTATTCTAGAAGCAATTTCAAAATCTGTCACGCTACTTATAGTACAATTCGAAAGTTGTTTTGACTTGTCAGACTGATGCATTTCTACATATGCAGGAAAATTGAAGATTAGAAGTTAGAGTAATTAAACGGAGAGTCAAATCTATAGGACTGCATTGCATGAACAGAAAGTTTATCATCCGAATGGCAGATACTTATGCAAACGTAGATGGGTATTTTCTTCGATGGGAAAAAGAACATCATAACAAGGGGATCTCGAACACTGACTACTGTGAGACTGAAATAAATTTAAACTCTTAATTTCTGCTGTTAGCTGTTTCCACAATCTAGTATATGGTATAGAATTTACCGTGTTTACAGAAATTAAACTTCTGTTAGAGGTTTTCGGGTTAAATTAGAGTGTTCCGTCTTATTTCCTATAGGATAAACAAAGATAGGCTCTATCGTTACTAAGAATATGATGTGAAATCGAAGAACTGGTGAAATTAGTCTGGTAAGTATTCTTTTCTTTCGTTTGATAAGCGAATGTCTTGCAATGAATGAAGATGTGGTCATTGCTGAAACTTCCGACAAAAAGGATCGTTCATTTCACTATTCTAAATGCAGCTGTTCGAGTACTACTAGCCAAAAAAATCAGACGAGGTGGAAAGTAGTTATGTAGAGTAATGCATTATGTCTTCAATCTACGGTTGACTGGACTGCCTACTGATGATGTATACGCTTCTAATGCCTAGGGAGGACTTCGTGTATTGTAAATAAGATCTTCCGAGAATGGATCGTCATCTCTTCATCGCTTGAGAATCACATCAATGCATGAGATTAACTACTGATTAACACATGTGAAGAGATGTGCAGGATATATAAACAATGCCTAAATACCCTGTACGACGACCATCACTCTCCTAACCACAGCCTGAACACCAGGAATCACGTGTTCACTGGAATTTTGATGAACCAGTTGACGAAAATCCTCATCAAACTTTTTCTGACGCTTATTCGTCAGCCCAGTAATCACGATGCGAGCTTTACATCTTTCTATTTATAGTTTATTCTGTCACAGTTTACACGTAACTATAGCCTCCGGAGTTAGTCCTTAGTTCGTATTTATACAACATAAAGATTTTTCCCTCTGCATATCATGGGACACACACTATCCCGTCAATAAAATCCAAACTGAAATGACAATTGGCAGGATTAAAAAGATTTGTTCACAAACCACACCGGTAATGACATCTATAGAGATTGCCAAAAAGTTCTAGATTTACGGTTACTCTGAGAAGTTATCAGAAGCTTCAATGCCAAAAAACTGAAAACATTACATGGAGCTTTGTTTCTTAAGCCGCCTGTAACTGAGTCACAGTTGTTCATAAACATTTCGTACTGTCCGATAGAGGCCATGTCCACTGAGTGGAAAGAAGACTTGAATATCAGTAGACACATGTAGATAGGAGATAATGAAATCACAAATTCACAAAAGTATTTGTATGTAGGATTATAAACCTCACTTATATATATATATATATATATATATATATATCAAAGACAAGCGCTTGTTAATTTAATCGGCATTCCTCATTATAAAATATTAAGCAGTCTTATTTAGAATCACCTCCAAGGCAAATAAACTGATTAAGTAAAACTCAGTAGCAAGAAACACGTTATATATACATATATATATATATATATATATATATATATATATATTCAAGATAATATAATAATAACTACACATTCATAACTGCATATGTCAGCTGTTACAGTCAATATTCATTCATAGATGATACTAAGAAATTCGACTTACAGTCATACAAATAGTCCCAGTAAGCATCTGCATTTTTTGCTGGTTGATGAACATCTGTTCTACTGGTAGTGATCCTGTTACATTTAACACACAGGCGTACATTGTGATATAATCCGCTAGGAGGATGTCAAATTATGATGATGGTATGAAGGCCTGAAGGGAATTTTTTTTGAAATCATAAGTAAGAATATACAGATAACATAAGGAATTCCAGATATATACAGTTACGAATTTATATTTCACATCACTGTTGTATATCACCCGACGATGCTGAGGATTTACTGAATTTACTTACTGAAGGGGATGAATATGTATCATCATTGTAAGTGCTACTCAAAAAACATGCATTTGAAATAAGGTTAGGCATCCAGTAGAATGACTCAGTGATTATGTTTCAGACGAAATTCTTGTATTACTCACAGTCATAATAGGATTTTAAATGACAGGAGGAACGATGATACATATTATAAGAGTATATGTAATCACAATCGTAGAGGGTGGAATGATAGCAAGGGGGAAATTCTAAGTATCGATAGTTTTGACTAATTGACATCTTCTTGAACATTCATGATTACCATTGATTTATTAGAAAAGATTTTAAATGATTACAATTCACTTTGTTATACGCGTTCATTTGTCTAATCGTCTCACCTTACAAACCTTAATGTCAATCCGATTCGTTACTTGTGAATCATACTCTGCATGGATCAATCGTCTACGACGTGATCCTGATAGATCAATTGGCGTAGTTGTCGATAATAAACGCTTCAATGTTTTATTATCACAAGTAATCTCTTTATAGTGTTTACGATCACGAGTAAAATGAAACAGGATCATATCAGTGACTATTTTAGATAAACCCAATAATCCAAAGCCGGAACCAAGTCTCATTGTGAATGAAAGTAGATTAAATTTCCCAGCTATCCCAGTGACACGGATAATGAATTGTATGCCATTCACATGAACTAGAATTCGTCTTCGATTCTTCACAGTCTCTGTGTCATAACCGAAATATGATGTTAATCGTATAGCTGAACCTTCATTTAGAGAGATTATTTCCTCGACATCATCTACGATATCCTCTTCATCCTTCGGAATGTGTGCTGCATATGTGTAATCGAATATTCCCTCTCTGTTGTCTGTTGTTGACGTTGATGTATCCTCTGACTGCGATGGTGACCACTTCATATGACCACCCTGATGACTATAAGTGGAATTATTCACTCGAAGTTTACGAACTTTGTGAACACTCTCCAATTCAAGAAATTCATACTTCGGTAAACAGTATTCAGGAGACCAGTCCAAATCACACTCCCAACTGATTGTGATGGCAACCACTCCACCATATTTCAACAGACGATTGGTGTTCGTCCCAGCCAGTTTGAATACATCACCGAGACGGAAGATGGGACAGTATCGATCGACTTCGTGTTCAGGATTATACAAACACTCTTGTAGATAACTATCTGTCATCCAGGATAAAATATTCAGTCGTTTCGTATTGAATGCAGGAAACTCTATACTGTTTTTAATCAGCATTGTGAAATTGACAATCTCGAATAGAGGATCAACGGAATGTGGCGTAAGATCATTGTATCGATTTTTCACTTCTAAAAATCGTAAATCTGTGAAAAAATTATAATATCCTTCTATAATATTTGGTGGTCGAATCAATCTCATCTTCGCATTACGTTCTTTCCTCAATTCATATTCATAGTCATCACCAGTTGGACACCAACCGAATATTTCACATTTCCCATGATCCTTCAAACATTTCCCTGTGAATATTCCATGTCCACTCTCATCGATTGCGATGGAGTTCTCATCTGGTACGATACCATCATAACCGAATGCTTGGAATCCCGCTTGGTAACCAGCTGGACAGTGTTCATCTTCTTGACATTGTGCATCAGGCAATCGATCACCTTCACTGCACGTTGACATACTTTGTACTACGAAGTGTCTTATTGTTGTTATTAAATAAAATCCAGAATTCTGTGTAGGTTGTAGTAAGTAATCTCCACTGTCCAGCACAATTATTCCATTTGCAACATGGTTTTGTCTTTGGAATACATGTTTCCAAGCGATACCTTTCACTTTGACTGCTACACCACTGATGGGACGATCGAATGATTGATAGCCTTTGTGCAACCACATAACATATATAACGAAATATGTGAATATAAAGAATTGAATGAATCGATGTATAATTGCCAGTGATGGTTTTCGTATGAGTACTACTCTTGGCATTTCAAAGACAAGCATGGTTTACTCAGTTCAATTCCAATGGAGTTATTCTGGTTATCGAAGTCAATTAATGATGATAATAATATGTTTGTACAAGTTATTTATATCTATTTATTGTTGTTTTTGTTGTTGTCGTTATGGTTACGATAACGATAATGGTGAATACATGACACTTTTATACAACGTTATGCACTAAATGTTCACAAGTGAATACTGATCATTGAATGACATTAAAAATTACAAATTGGAGCAATTAGTGAATAGAGAAGAAGGAAAGTAATGCTATTAAGCTGACAATATTCATGTTTATGATAGAATCTTTCTATAAAATTCCTTCTGCATTATTCTATGCATTGAAAGTGAGAATTACATCAACAGAGTACACATTCATCCACCAATTGAATTATGATGTTGGCCAACAGCAAAATTATCAATTTCATCTTCTCAAGCTGTCTTTCGATATATATATATATATATATATATATATATATATATATATATATATAAGTCAAACATGGGCTTATCATGATGAACAGTCAAATAGGTTGATAAGTGGGTTAGAAATTATGCAGTTAGGAGAAAAAGTAATCAGGGCACTAGTAATGAAAGTAAGCAAATAAAAGCAATGATGAGAAATAAGAAGACAAATCTTAGAATAAGAGAAGGAAGCAATGGGACTGATAAAAACCAATAGAAGATATATATATATATGGGCTATCCTAACTAAGCATACCATTTATTCTAAATAGTACTGGGTTGAAATGACTGAAATATTTTTACGACAGAAGTATACGAATAATTTCAAAACACGTTCAACATGAGATTCAATGTAATGTCTTAAACCTAATTCATTTACCCTATGGTCTGTCTATATTTTAGGTGATACCGTTAGTGGTGTAAAGTAGATATTTATAATTTCGATAGTGTGGTCACCATTGATTCATGGTGGTTTCCCATCCGTCGAAATATTAGGCATTCAGTACGAAGATTACAGCTCCATCCTTTCATGGTAGATTTTAAGACTGTCAGGTTATACCATCCTACTGTATGGTTGTGCTTGATTGAATGTAGTGCTATATCTGATCTATTTTCTGAAATTCTCATCTTATTAGAGTTAAATAATCTAGATTATGATAGGGTGGGCTTTTGCGCTCTGGTAGTCTGGTTGTTCCTGATCTACTTTTTCACCCATGTATTTAACATGACAATCATTGGCATACGGTCTCTTCCACATTACCCTCACACCAAAGACCCACTCATCCCATCCCATTAAAATGATATTCGACGGCCTTCTCAACTAGCGTATGCCCAATACATCTACATTTTCTCCTAAATGTTTGTTGAGAGATCAGCTCTCACCTGTTGGTTTGTTCTCAGCCAGAGTAACTTCTCTCTAATTCTTTCTGACTGGCCGACCGGCCATTTCATCTTCAGTATGGAGACAGCCAGCCAGCCAGCCAGCGAATTGGGTTACTGTTGATAGAAGTCTGCAGTCATCTGTTGGAAATCTTTTTCGTGAAACACAATACAAGTTTCTTACCCGTATAGAAGAAGTGACCGACTGACTGACTTCACATTTGTGTTGAACAGAATCTGAGTCTTGTTGTTTATGCTGGCTGAGTTAGTGGAGAATATTTCCAAAATGGTTTCAGGTTGATGAAGGTGTATCTTACCTTTACTATCATGGCTGGCTTTGACATCATCATCCTCACTCTATATTTTTCTAGCCGGCCTTAAGCTTGGGTGAAGTCAGATGGTTGGATGTGAAGTTAGCCATTCTACCTCATAAAATCAATCAAAATGCTGCAGGAACTTCAATGCTCAATAAAAAGTTTGTGTTATACTAGACTACAGTGGTATTAGATAGATACAAATGTAATGAAAACACACGTGTAAAAAGACAAGATGGTGGTCGACAGATGATAAAATAAGGATTTAAAAATAGATAGGTGGTGGACTCTTTACCAGTCACACTCATTACCCAAGTAGGATTGTGGAACATTCAGGTTATGTAATCAAGTTCGTTGATCATTCCGCAACTTGGGCTGGAATTCAGTGACAGGTGAATTCCTTATCAGTTCGTGGTACAGGGCCACCCTCGCAGGTGCTTTCAATGAGCATCCAATCACAATGCTACAGTTTATCTGGTGTCCAATTATTATTATTATATCCTTTAATTCCTAGAGGAACATAGGGCTTGAGGTGCGAGTCTCCATTGCGTTCGGTTTTCCGCCAAATTTTTCACCCCGCTCCCAGTCTGCCCACATGCTTTCATCTCCTCTTCACATCACCTCCTCCAAGTCACCCTTGGACGACACACTCGCCACTTTCCTTTCAGGTTCCACTTGAGCAATGGCTTGTCTAGTGATGTCACTCGATGGTTTCTTTAGCGTATGGCTAATCCATCTCCATTTCATTCTGACTATTTGTTTCACAATCGGTTCCTGCTGAGTTGGTTTGCTCATTGCCAGAGATCCCTGTTGCTGAGCTTTTCTGGCCGACCAGCTGATCTTGAGTACTGAGAGAAGACAACTGTTAATGAAGATCTGAAGTTTGTTTGAGATGCTCTTTATGACTCGCCAAGTCTCTGATCCGTATAGTAGCACTGACTTCACATTGGAGTTGAAAATCTGGATCTTATTTTTGATGCTGAGTAGTGCTGTTGACCTCCACACAGACTTGAGAGTAATGAAAGCTTGTCTTGCTTTTCCGATTCTTGCTTTGATATCCTCGTCAGTTCCGTCCGCCTGTAGTTGAAACGATGCTTCCTGTGTAGGTAGGTAGGTAAAGGAGGTTGTTTCTTTCAGGTTCCTCCCATTTATGCTGGCTGATTGTTGTCTGTTGTTGTTGGCCAGGAATCTTCATCACCTCTGCTTTATCTAAGTTCACCTGGAGTCCTATCTTTGATGCTTCTTCTGCCAGCTTGTTGCTTTTCACTTGCATATCTTCCAGTTTGTGGTAAATCAGACACATATCATAGGCAAAACCCCCATCCAGATCCTCCCAGTTTTTCGTGTGAGTCCATTTTATGCCTGTTTCCTCATTGCCTGTTGTCTGTCGCACAATCCAATCTACTGCAATCAGGAAGATCATTGGTGATAGTAGACAGCCTTGTCTCACTCCCGTCCTCACTTCGAAGGCTTCCGTAAATTTCCCGTTGTGGATTACTTGGCATGCAGCATTGTCGTATAACTGTTGAATGAGATGTATAATTGTCGATGGCACCCCTTGGTAGTAGCGATTTAGTTGACAAATGACCTCTTGATCGATGCTGTCGAAGGCCTTTTCAAAGTCGATGAAGTTGATTGAGGTAGAGAAGTGACTTCCATTCCAAGCTCTGTCGAATGATGATCCGTAGCGCGGCGATTTGATCAATACATGACTTGTTTCTCCTGAATCCAGCTTGTTCTGGTCGAAGTTCTTCATCTAGGGCTTGTTTGATTCTCTCCAGGATAATGCGGCTTAGTATTTTGCTTGGAATGGACAGGAGCATAATCCCGCGCCAGTATTTGCACTGACTTAAGTCTCCTTTCTTTGGTAGTTTGAATGAGTATCCTTTCTTCCAACCCTCAGGTACTTTACCCTCTTTCCACACCTTCTCTAGCAATGGCGTCATCAAGCCCGCTGTTGTCTCTGGGTCCATTTTCAATGCTTCTGCTGGGATTCCATCTGGTCCTGCTGCTTTTCTAACTTTTAGCATCTTGATTGCATCCAGGACTTCTGATTTCATCGAGGCTTGATGTTCACTAGTAGTTCTGCTTCCGTTGTTGCTATTGTTGGGCGCGTTGTAGGTGGCGGACGATTTAGAAGCCTTTTGAAGTGTTCAGCCCAGTGCTTTCTCTGTTCCACCTCTTTGGTGATTGATTTTCCAATGCCATCCTTTACTGGCTTAATCTGTGTCGAACTTTTGCCGGATAGGTGCCTAATTGTTTGTTAGAGTGTGGCGAGGTCTCCTTTGCCTGCAGCTTGTTCTGCTTCACTTGACATGGCTTCATAATATTTTCTTTTGTCTTCCCTGGCACTCTTCTTTACTCTTTTGTTCGGTGTATTGTGGCTTGCATTCCGCTCCTGTTTTTGTTGGTCATCAGTGCACTGGATAATCTTTTGTTTCACTGTCCTTCTCTCCCCTATTAGTTTCCAAGTGTCCGTAGTGAGCCACTGTTTGTCCTGTCTCTTCTTTCTGCCTAGAACTTCCATGCAGGTTTGACTCCACACCGTTTTCAAGTTGTCCCAGTGCTTTTCGACGCTGACCTTTTCGCTGGCGTTGATTTGTGTCTCGGCTTTTTCCCTTATGTTTGCAATGAAGATGTCCTTTGTAGCCTGGTCCTTCAGCTTTTAAGTGGTGAACTCGGCTTGTGGTCTATCTGCAGCTCCTGTTTACCTGAAAGCTTTTAATTTGACTTGGATTGTCCCTTGTACGAGATAGTGGTCTGAGCCAACGTCTGCTCCTCTTCTTACTTTTGTGTCCAGTAGGCTGCGCCTCCACTTCCTTGAGCAGCATTGAGATGAAGTCGATTTGGTTTTTGGTTTGCCCGTCTGGTGACACCCATGTAGCCTTGTGGATATCTTTGTGTTTGTATACGCTGCCAGTCTGTCCAATTACAGACATTGAATACCCACACACAATGTCCTAACAATCGTTCAGGGAATAAAAATCACCAGGTAAATTACAGTCCTACAGTAGGTCAGTCACGAGCTTGAATAGCTGCTTAGTGGTAACGTCTCTGACTACAGTACTCACTGGGTGACGCGGGTTCGAATCTCAGAATGGAGATGACTCCCTTCAAGGTTGCAGATACGCCTTGCTAACTGGTGAGTGCCAACTAGCAGGAAGCCAAGGCTTCATGCCGACTGCCTCCAACTATATGAATTGCAGTCTGATAAATAATCAGTTCTCTAACGCAGTTATTGTTTCTGCATTCTCATGTAATTTCTCCATACGCCTC